GGTCCACTGGTCACTGTACAGAGGGGGTCAACGTCAGGCACTGGGTCCACTGGTCACTGTACAGAGGGGGTCAACGTCAGGCACTGGGTCCACTGTACTGATGTGCACATGTGTGTATGTCCCTCTGTGAAAACCAGGTCAACTTAAGGAGGTGGTCAGTGTAGGGAAAGGGCCAACTATGGAGGCCCTACTGTGATTGGAAATAGGTTAGACTGTTGCTTAAGCCCTCACTCACATCCTGGTTATAAAAAGTTTGGAGGTTGGGAGGTGAAAATTTTGGGAAGAGGCATTTTGGAGAGATGTGTTAAGTTCACTGCATGCCTGGGGCCTGGTGTTTCAGTGGAAATGCACAAAGGGCTTCCCGGGCATGTCCCTGCACTGTGGAGGATGTAGGAGACGGCATCTGATTTTATGTGAGAAAATTCAGGGCAAACCCAATTCATGGGTTTTTCAGGCATCAAATAAATGAATCGAGACAGACTGTGTCCGACATGGCCTGCATCCCCAGAGTCGGGAGCAGGGATACCTGTGTGGGTCCCATGGACCCGCCGTGGCACCTGTGGCAGACAGAGAGCCAGGGTGGTCCCCTTTCTCTCTCCTGCACTCGAGTTGCCTCCTGGAGCCGGGATTCATGAGGCAGTGACTGCAGGATTAGAGCTGCATCTGTTCAGATCAAGGAAACTGCAGTAGGTATTGGCTCGCTTAACTCAGTGCCCACCACGTCCAAAGGCAGCTTTAGAGTCTGTGAGCCCGGGAGGGCTGAAGGTCCCAGTCCACAGGGGAGGAGGTAGAGCAGCCCGGACTCCTTCCCCACCTGCAGACCTGAGCTGGCAGCAGGGCAGGAGGACGGAATGTTAAACGAGGGTTGAGTTTTGATCATAATTTGAGATGAGGATACTTGAATTACTTATTTAGGACTGGGGACACAAACTGATTATAGGATGTTTTCTTACCAATACTCAGAAGAATAGTAGGACAATCTATGTTTTCATTTAGGTCTTTGAGAAAGAATGTTCCTCTAGGATATTTTTAGAAGGCCAATGATATGGAAAGCAACATCACTGTGTGCAGTCTGCCAGCAACTATCATGTTACGTGGGGCAGATCAGGCCTGATTATATGATTGTTTAGAATTTGGATGATTTCTATTTCTTTATTTATTTTTTGCATTTCTAAATGTT